TGGGACTTCAGAATTCAAACAGACAAGCACCTGCAACATAACACCCCAGACTTAGCAATTGTCGATAAGAAAGACAAAAAAGTCTGGATAGTGGACGTGGCAGTGCCTCGAGACAGCAGAATAGACGAGAAAGAACTGGAGAAGATAACAAAATACAAAGACCTACAAATAGAAATAGAAAGACTGTGGCAAAAGCAAGCAAGGGTAGTACCAATAGTAATAGGCTCCTTGGGTGCAATCCCAAAACAACTGGAGCACCACTTGAACACCATTGGCATTGACAAATTTGCTATTAGTCAGTTGCAAAAGGCGGCCTTACTAGGAACTGCTTCCATCCTGTGACGATACCTGTAATAACATCAAACATCCACATCTGCCTATCCTAGGTCCTGGGTAAGGACTCGATAGGTAGACAAAATGCCAAATCCAGTCTGAACATCTGGCTGACTGTGCGATGATCCATAATAATAATAATGACGATGATGACGATGATGATGATGAAAGGGATCTTGGAGGTCATCTAGTCCAACCCCCTGCTCAGGCAGGAAACCCTATGCCATTTCAGACAAATGGTTGTCCAGTCTCTTCTTAAAAACATCCAGTGTTGGAGCATTCACAGCTCCTGGAGGCAAGCTGTTCCACTGATTAATTGTTCTAACTGTCAGAAAATTTCTCCTTAGCTCTAGGCTGCTTCTCTCCTTGATTAGTTTCCATCTGTTGCTTCTTGTCCTGCCTTCAGGTGCTTTGGAGAATAGCTTGACTCCCTCTTCTTTGTGGCAGCCCCTGAGATATTGGAACACTGCTATCATGTCACCCCTCGTCCTTCTCTTCATTAAACTAGACATACCCAAATATAAAAGAGGTTATGTATAAGAATTGTGTACATGTTTATTGTCATAGTTACATGTTATATGCAAAGATTTAAGCACACATACCTAAATTAAAACTAAAGCAATTTTAAAGACTGAGTTATATTTGCCCCTTTGATAGGAAGACTATGGAAGAGAATGCAATTGTCTATTTTTTTTATTCTTACAGATTATTAGCTACTAAAACTGTATAAACCACTTCCCTTAAAATTTATCATAGCAGTTTTCCCATTCTGCTTTAAAAATTATAGTCATATAGTTTTAAATCAGTTAATACGAAACATACAGTTGGTCTCATAGGATAGCCAAAGAAGGGGGAAAAAGCTTGTAGAGAAAGTACTACATTTTACTTGTTCTTTTAGACACTTTTTCCAGACAGCCAATATTTTTTTCTGAAGAATAATAAAAACTGTACAACATTCACCATTCAGAATGTGACTACACTAGAGATGAGTATTGTCATACTTTATACCAGACAGAATGATAAATCTTTAGTCAGACCTGCATTAACTAACAAAAGCTTCATATATTTGACATGGCTTAGAGAAGTTGCTTTATTGCTTTATTATATGCCTGTTGCAAAATACAGAAATCAAGCCATATGTGTGAGACAGAGCTCACAGAGACTTTGGCATTCTTTTCCCAGCCTTGAGATTCAGTAGCAATTGTTTATTGTTTACACAATTCTTTATAGCCAGAGCAAAAAGCATCACCTCATCAGCATCACCTTTTACAAGTATTAGTGTACAATCTTCATGATATTAGTTGTTTTGTTCTTTGGCAGAATTTTTGCTATTTCGTATTGTGGATTATTTATTGAATAATTTCAATAGTTTATTGAACTATCCATTACATTCCTCATAATATATATTGTTTGTAACAGCTAGCTGAAGACACCAGGTTTTTTTTTTAACCAATAGGTTGATATTAAATTTAAAGTGAATAGTTGCTATTTTGTTCAGTCATTTAGCTTAGAAAAATCATTATGTAGATTTTGCTCTCCATTTGGTATTTATTATATTGAATAAATCAGAATTAGCTTCTTTGCTATCTTAAAACTCAGACCTTTGTGAATAAATTAAAAAGAAGCACCTGTAGTCCTGTTCAGATACTTAAGGATCTTTTTCTGACTTTTTTTTATTCTAAGAATTGTCATTTTGTGCAATAAAGTGAAAGTCCAAATACACAAGAGCTACCACATCATTAAGTTTGCATATACTGGTTGACATTTTTAGAAAATGCTAAATGTATAGTGAAGCAACACTTGCCTTTCAGAAACCACCCTCATTCCTCTTTGGTTAACCTTGAATATGTAATTAAGCCTTAAATCAGAGGGTTTTTTTAATCCACTACAAATATTACATTAATTGGGCTGGTTTTTTTTGAAAAAGCAGTCTTATATTAAAGTTTCTTGGGGAAGAGTTATGCCTCTAGTGCGGTGGTTCTCAATCTTTTTAATGCCGCGACCCACAACCGGTCGTAAGTCAAGTACTACTTAACCGGTCGTAAGTCGAGGACTACTCAACTGGTGCAGCACCGTTTGCAGAATGGGACTTTTGGCGGACTCACCAGGGCAGAGACAGCCTGGACAATTCCTATTGGCTTTTGAAAGCCAATAGAATTAGACTCTATTCAAGAGAGTCTATTCTATTGGCTTTCAAAAGCCAATAGAATAAAAGGGAGTAGCACAGCTAAGGAAAAGGGGGAAAAATGGCGGACTGCATTGTTTGGCAACCCCTGTGAAATGGTCGTTCGACCCCAAATGGGGTCCTGACCCACAGGTTGAGAACCACTGCTCTAGTGTATAGTGTTAGGAACAGGTTATATTTTCTTGCTAGACTAGGGGCATTTTCATATTTAAAAGCAACCAAATAGAAACAATTCTAAATCAATGACTTGTTAATTTAATTTATCAGTTTATCCTAAACTATCCCACCCCTGTGATATTACATTTTTCTTCAGGAGAGAAGTAGGAGATGTATCCAAGAATTCATTCCCCTTCCCTGCTTCAGACTGTCTTTCAACTCCCTTTTTGCTAGTATTGTAAGTTTTGAAAAGAATTAATTTTGGGGTGGGAGTTTCTTAGAACCTTTTCATTTATCTGAACATTCAACATATTGCTTCAATTATGTACAGGTGGTTCTTGATTTAGGACTACAATTAGGACCAGAATTTCGGTTGCTAACCAAGGCAGTTGTTAAGTGAGCTGTGCCCAATTGTATGCTTTATTTGCTGCGATTAAGCGACAGTTGTTAAGTCAATCATGCAGTCATGAAGCAAATCTGGTTTCCCCATTGACTTTGCCTTTCAGTAGCCAGCTGGATAAGTAGCAAACGACAATAACATGACACTAGGATGCTGCAGCTATTGTAAATACATGCCCATGGAGAAATGCCCAGATTTCTACTGTGGGGATGCTACAATGGTCAGAACTGTGAGAACCAGTCACAAGTCGCTTTTTCAGTGCACTGTAATTTAAGACTGTCACTAAACAAATGGCTGCAAGTTGAAGACTGCATGTATCTTGCAAGCTGATGTCATACTCCATTAGGGATTGTGTTTAAGGCTAGCTTTTCTGAATAATCTCTGCAATAAATTATTATACTTATGTTCTTATTGTGACTCTGAGAGAACACCTAAAGCGCTTATTGGTTACTTGCCTACATAAAGCATTTGTCAAAACTTATTGTTCAAATAATCCTTTAATAAGGCTTGTTTTCAGTACCATGGACAACTATAGATATTTCTTAATGACCTTGGCCCTTTATTTTTACAGATCTTGCTGCTGTTGTCTCTATACCGTCCCTTTGTTTGTTCAATCATTACTTTTTGATTCTGTCCTTAATTGTTTTGACTAAAATTTCGCCTCAGTTGAGTTACAGTTATCTGAATCAATTTAACAATTGTTTTTTAAATGTTAAATTTAAATGTGAGTTACAGTTATCTGAATCAATTTAACAATTGTTTTTTAAATGCTAAATTTGTATGGTAACTGAAATTCCTTTTTTTAATTTCTTAATTTTCTACTTAAAAGATACTGAAAAAATACTGTAATATATTTCAAGCCATACAATAATTAAATGAGAAATGAAACTATAATATTTAAAACCCAAAGGCATCTCTAGATCATCAAAAAAGCAATTTATTTTTATGAAAAAAAAATTAAAAGAGAATTTTCTGTGACTAATAGCCATGTCCTGATTTTTTTTAATGGAAAATTTTGTCATGTAAGTTAGTCTGACAACCTGTAGAACTACCATAGAGACACATGTTTTTTGTTTTACCTGTTATATATAGGGCTTTTTTTCTCGTAGAACGCCCAGAACGGAGTTCAGGCACCTTTTTTGGATGGAACCTTGTAGGGTAGGCAAGGCGGGTTGTATGATGTGTGTGAGTTCTGGCACCTTTTTTTTTTTTTTTTTTTAGAAAAAAAGCACTGGTTATATATACGGTAAAATTGAGGCTATAGTATGGTATTAAACTTTCTCCAAAATGTTAAGCAAAAATGGGGTAACAATATTTCTTAATTAAGAATATTTCTTAATTTAACTCACAGGTTAAAAACATTTTTCTTTTGGTTCAAGGATAAGTTTGTTAAAAGGACTGAGAAACAAAAGACTGAAGATACTGACAGTGAGGGACAGGTTACCTTATATTTTCTTCATTATCTCAGAATAATTTATGCTAAGATTTGGTGAGATTAATTCCATTAAATTTAATTATTAAATTAGAGCTAATGTGAGATGTGGTTCACCATGTTGCTTCTCATTGCCACAGACTACCAGTCAACACCACATAAGCATTCCCTCTTCACTCCTTGGCCTTGTTTGGCAATTCTCAACAAATCTATAGAGTTATTCAATTTATTTTACAATAATGTTTTTGGGTGATATAAACCTGTTTCTCTGATATTCCTAGAGAGTTTGAAGATATAACCCAATTTCATCCTCTGTTACTGATTTGTTTGAACTCCTACCTGGGGCAAATATAAGTCCTATTATCACAATTACCATTGTCTTAGATTGAGTTGCATAATCCAAATATTACCAAATCCTTTTTTAAAAAAAGAGAAGCTATTTAAAAATACTAATCCTAGGTTGTATAATTTTCCTTCTTGTGTCTTTTTTTTAGGGCTTCTTTAGTAGGCGGCTTAGAGGCTCAATCAAAAGAACAAAGAGCCAATCTAAGCTGGATAGGAATGCCAGCTTTCGTCGTCGTGTGACCATTGAAGAAAGGTAAGACTCTTCGTGGAGGGCCAAAGGGTTAGTTGTTTCCAAGAATTTGGTGAGATATATTAATCTGCATTAGCACATATAAAACCACTAAAAAGTTTCACTTAAAATAAACTGAAACTTTTTTTACCAGAAATGTTCAACTTAGGGTTTACAACCTACAATTTAAAAATCAAGGAAACCTTTGCCATTGGTTGGTATGGCATGTCTCACTCACTGACCCACTAAAGCCTGATGCAAGCTCATGAATTGGTTAACTTATTCCCAAAGGGCAGCTGTATTGGTGTTTTACTTCACATGCAATTAAGAGTTTCATGGCATCTTAAAAGTTTACAATTTTTATCATAGTAAAAAAGCTTTCCCCTGGTGAAGTGCATAAAAGCCTTTATCATGGCATAGTAATTGTTTTTACTGGAGACAATATCACTAAGTTAATTGTTGCACTTGATCAAAGAGTTACAAAATGCTAAAGAATATGTTAGTTGTCTCCTGGACAATAGTGTCTTTGATAGTGAATCCTGAGTACATAAAGCTTCTTTTAAAGATAAATTAATATTGTTGTACTTTCAATATATGTATGTATCAAGAATACTTTTTAAAGTGTTTATTGTGGTCTTTATAACCATGAACTAGGACAACAAACCTAAAATAAGACCAGTGACTTCTTCTGGTCTCTTCCAAAACTGAAAAGTCTCCTGTTTCATGGGTAATTGTCAAGCATCATGGAAATCAGGAGATTCAGGCAGTTCAAATGAGTATAAAAATTTATTGCAAGCTTAATCTCTCTACAAAAGTCTGACCTATTAATGGTCAAGGGAAATGAGCGGGAATAAGAAGGTATTCACGGTGGTTTGGACTTAGATCTCTTGCAGGGGTGGCAGGGGCTCATGATGTTTGACCCCTCCCTCGAGCTCAGTAACATTGCATAGCCCAGCAAGATGGTGGTCTTTGGGCAATCTTCACTTCATTATGAAATAGTAGGCCAAACTTAGTACTAGTAAATCCTAGAAAAAAGTACTGGCAAATCTCTTCATATTATTGACAAGAAGACAATATGGTCATGTCCAGGAGTTGAATTCAACTTGACAGAGAATGTATCAAAAACATACTACTTTAGTTTGAAAACTGGACAATTTTCAATTATTATTCCAAAATTATTCAGTTTTGCATTAATGGATGTTTGAAGAGGGATGCTTATGATAAAAAGAGGAAATAGAGAAGTGTTGTTTTTTTTTCAGTAATTGAAAAACCAGACTGATTCAGGAAGCTCTAGGATAAATAGAGGCTTCAGAGTTTATATTAAAAAAGGCCTGACTTTCATTTGTAAATTGTTTAGTATTGTTATAAATGCTTCATTGTAGAGACATTTTGGCTCCTAATTCTAATTCATTACATTCTAACAGCTGGTGGTTAAATAAAGTGAGTTTTTTTTCCTAGTAGCTAACATGAAGGTTCAGCTCTTAAATGTGAGTAATGTGATAGCATTGGCAGCATTGATAGAAATCATTAGTGCTCAAGTTTCTGCTGCAGAGAGCATCTATTTCTTCCTGAAATGGCTTGTTCTAGCTTAATGATTGAATATTAATGCATTTATCTCTTATAGTCTTTCAGTCTCCATTCTAATGTTAAAAATAGCTTGCTGTTTCTTATGTTTTTGAAACATTTCTGGTTTTTTATCTTTATATATATTTGTGTGTGTGCGTATGTGTATGTGTGTGTGTGTGTATGTATGTGTGTGTGTGTGTGTATATATATATATATATATATATATATATATATATATATATATATATATGTAGGTCTTTGGTTGTTCAGGTTTTCTCCCGCGTAAAATTGGAAGTGTCTTGGCGACGTTTCGATGAAGTCCCATTCGTCATCTTCAGGCTGGTGTTTTCAGCTTCATGCTCCTCGAAGCACGAAGCTGAAAACATCAGCCTGAAGATGACGAATGGGACTTCGTCTAAACGTCGCCAAGACACTTCCAATTTTACGCGGGAGAAAACCTGAACAACCAAAGACCTACATACAAACACCCATGAAAACCTCAGAAAACAAATATATATATATATATATATATACATACATACATACATACATACATACATACATACATATTCCTAATCAGAAGAAAGCCATACCTTTATGGTGATTTCTCAGAGGCTTACTTCTCTTGGAGTTTAATACAATTAATCTGTTCTCAAATATTAACATTGCTGCAATGCACATCCCCAAGTCAAAAGCGGAGGTTTTTGATCCTTCAGAAGTGTTATTTAACTCAGTGCTTCCTCTCTTTGTGAGGAATTGGCAAAGAGAAGGAAATAGAAACAGATATGAGCAAGAGGGGTCCTAACTCTTGTAGAAATAATAATCATTTGCTTCCTGGGTGTAACAATTGCTGTGCCTGAGGAATAACTTGGGAAAAATTGTGCTGTAAGATGCAAGTGCCCAAACCAGCTCTCTTTGCAGTTACGACTGTAACTTTGTGGCCCTTTGTGACTCTTGACCTTGATTCTCAGAATCTTTTAGCTAGTGTATGCTGATTGTATGATTGTTTTTTAACCTTTTTAGTTTATTGTATTAGGGTGTGTATGGGTGTGAATGATGGAGCTGGGAACAAGAACTGGTGCCCCCTCTGCTGAGTGTGTAAACAGAAATGGAGGGGGGGCCGGATGTACTTCCCGGCTTGATTTGAATGTGAGATGTGGCCTGCCGGGAGGGGGGGATGGTGGGAGAGAGACCTGCGGGGTGGGTGCGGAGTTTTCGGGGGTGGAGGTGGGCCGGAACATCCCGGTTATCATAGGGAGAGGTAGATATGGCGGGAGCCAAGGGGTGGGCCATCTTCGGGGAACAAGGACTCTCTGCATTAGAGCGATTACCTGTTCCGACCCCTTGGACTCTTCTCCAATACCTGGAGAGGGGGGTGTTCAGGACCCTGGCCTCAGGTTGCTGCTTCTTAATGCCAGGTCGGTTATTAATAAAGCCCCCCTCATCTGGGATTTGATACTGGATGAGGAGGCCAACCTGGCATGTATTACTGACACCTGGCTGGGCCAAGAGGGAGGTGTTCCTCTCTCAGAGATGTGCCCAGACGGGTTTCAGATAATGCACCAACCGTGACTCCAGGGAAGGGGTGGGAGAGAGGCGATTCTTGTCCGAGAATCCCTGAGACCTCGCAGGATCCCAGCCCCAGAGGTTGTTGGGTGTGAGTCCCTTCTCTTGAGGTTGGATTCAAGGGTTCAGTCGGGTTTGTTGTTGACATACCTGCCTCCCAGCTGTGTGACAACAGCCCTGCCTGAGCTGCTGGAGGGAGTAGCTGGGTTGGCGGTGGAATTCCCCAGGCTTATGGTGCTGGGGGATTTCGATTTGCCGTCACTCGGCGAATCCTCTGGTGTGGCTCAGGAGTTCATGGCTTCCATGACAACCATGGACCTGACCCAGATAATTCAGGGTCCGACCCATAGGGGAGGACACACGCTCGACTTGGTATTCCTCTCGGGGCAGTGGAGACATGATTTCGATTTAAGGGGTATAGTCACTTCTCCCTTGTCATGGTCGGATCACTTCCTGTTGAGGTTAGATTTCTCGGTCCTACTCCCCCACCGCAGGGAGGCGGAACCGATTAGGTGGTTCTGCCCCAGGCGTTTAATGGACCCGGAGGGGTTCCAAATAGTGCTTGGGGGTTTTCCTGATTCCCTCCTCCACGAACTGACTGAGTCCTTGGTCGCTGCTTGAAATAAGGCGGCATCAGGAGCGTTAGACCGGATCGCGCCTTTGCGACCTCTCCATGATTGTGGATCCCGGAGGGCACCTTGGTTTACCGAGGAGCTACGGGAGATGAAGCGTCAGAAGAGACGTCTAGAGCGACTCTGGAGGGATAGTAACTCCGAATCCGACCGGACACTCCTAAGGGCCTATATTAGGACTTATTTAGTGGCGATACGAGCGGCAAAGTGTTCGCATTTTTCTGCACTTATTGCGTCTGGAGAATCTCGCCCCGCCGCCCTGTTTAGGGTGGCCCGTTCCCTACTTAATGTTCGGGAAGCTGGGGAGCCCTTACAGGGTAGAGCGGAGGAATTTGTGCAATTCTTATCAGACAAAATCGCTCGGATTCGGACAGTCCTAGACTCCACTTGGGCAGGGCCTTTTGAGATGACTGGGGCAGGTCTTAGCTCAGTTTTATGGGATGAATTTGAGTCTGTGACCACTGAGGATGTTGACAGAGCGTTGGGAGCAATGAGCGCCTCCACTTGTTTATTGGACCCGTGTCCTTCCTGGTTGGTCTCAGCTACCAAGGAGGTGACACGAAGCTGGCTCCAGGTGTTGATCAACGCTTCGTTGAGGGAGGGGTCTTTTCCACAATCCCTGAAGGAGGCGGTTGTGAGGCCCCTGCTCAAGAAGCCTACCCTGGACCCGGCTGACTTAAATAACTTCCATCCAGTCTCCAATCTCCCCTTTGTGGGGAAGGTTGTAGAGAGAGTGGTGGCGCTCCAGCTCCAACGGTCTCTGGATGAAGCAGATTATCTAGACTCTTTTCAATCTGGCTTCAGGCCCGGCTTCAGCACAGAAACCGCTTTGGTCGCGCTGATGGATGATCTTTGGCGGGCCCGAGACAGAGGTTATTCCTCTGTCTTGGTGCTACTTGACCTCTCAGCGGCTTTCGATACCATCGATCATGGTATCCTTTTGCGACGACTCGAAGGGGTGGGAGTGGGAGGCATCGTTTTACGGTGATTCTCCTCCTACCTCTCTGGCCGGTCGCAATCGGTATTGGTGGGAGGGCAGAGGTCAACCCCGAGGCCCCTTGAATGCGGCGTGCCACAGGGGTCGGTCCTCTCTCCCCTCCTGTTTAACATTTATATGAAGCCGCTGGGTGAGATCATCAGACAGCACGGGGTGAGGTTTCATCAGTATGCTGATGATACCCAGTTATATATCTCCTCCCCGAGCTCTCTCAGTGAAGCGGCCGATGTGATGGACCATTGCCTTGAAGCCGTGAGGGTCTG